TGGGAGCGTGTTCCAGGGTCGGCAGACGCGGAGAGAAAACTAATTCCGTCGAAAATCTAGACGACCATTTCATTGATTCGGTTTCAGGTCATTGCCTATGTCGTTGGCACTCGGGCTGAGTTTCAATAGTTGGCGGCACCTGTGACTTCGGTCGTTCATTATCGTGAGACAACTATAAGGTCTCCACGTAGCCGTTGCAGCGTCCACTGAACACTCCGACTGTCTACAATGGTGGCGCAATCCTTTGACAAAGTGCTTTGCTCGAAGTTGGGGAATTTCGAGCGCTGCAATGTCCCGATTTAGCCAAGGATGTCAAAGCTGGATTTGTAGTTGGCGTGGGGTCGCGCCTAGGCATTTACCAACAGAAAGGAGATTTATGAATCCAAACTCACGGATGCCATCCGCAAGGAACCAACATGCTGGTTACCACTGTTTGAAGCGGATTCTGACTGCCTAGAACAACCGAGGTCTTCCTGTACCAACCTACCGAGGTCATGACTCTGAGTGCTTGTCTGCAGATCTGCGCCCCAACGTTGTAGATATATGCCTTCCAATGGCGGATATCGACAACGCAGTAGCTGTGCACATTGAATGGCTTGCATTCCTCACTGACCAATGCTAGGCCCTATCGAAGTCGCGTTGGGGGATCACCTCCTCACGCATTCCCTTGATCCATCGCCAACTAGTACCTTTAACCGCAATAAGTAAGAGTTTTGTTGTCATAGCTCCCATAAGATTATTGAGTAAACCTAATAAAACTCGTAAAAGGATGCGATGAAAAAGTGCCATCGAAGACCATTGTACCGCGGCGGGTGGTAGAACACGTAAAACTGCCACTGGCACGCTAGCCGTACAACCTTTTCGTGGTACCAGCTGGGTAGTTTGGGTCCACCCCGTTCTAGCAAATAGTTCGGCGACAGTGTTCCAGGAAGTGGTGGGTCTTTGCCTGACAAGCCTTCTCCATAAAAGAAGCCACAAATGTCCGTTTAACAACTATGTGCTATGGCGGTTGTTACTCGTCACCACCTAAAGTCACCCATTGCTTAGCCGGACAACTGCTTCAAATCCACATATATCAAGCATCCATTTAGCACCGGCGACACGTTTAGGCATTCTTAAAGAGGCAAGAGACACTCACAAATCCCATAGACACATCTAAACATGCCTACCTACACAATTGCGCACACTCATCTAGTCACATGCGCTACGATCCTAATGTTCCATTGTAGGTTAAAAGACCACACTTTGTACTCCTAGCTTAAGCAGGCCTGTGCAGGCGTGCGTCGTTTAGCCCAGAATAAACATTTTATTTATTTATTTACGTACGTTCAAATGATGTCCATTATTATCCTACATCATCAAATGCGTTGACGTACAAATTTCTGGCAGTACATGAAAGCCGAGGTGCCTTGCTGAAGCACATGGCCTTATTATCATTGTTACGAATAGAGTTAAACAAATAATACATTTTCAGCCCGCAACCAACAAGCCGCGGCCAGAGTTGTTCTCCCTAGGAGAGGGTAACGCAACACCTTCCGTTGCATAAGACGGCAGTACCGTTTTACTTGTGTTTCTGTGTGCTAGCATGGATGGCGTAAAACCGAAAGGAGGTTGGTTGCGTAGATGAGGTTCAAATCTCTGTGACTAATATGATTGAGAGCCAGCCGGGTTCGTACCATAAGGTGAGCCCTAGGAGCACGGGTTGGTTTTGCATGGCATGGCGCAGTCGGTGAGGCGACATGATAGAAAGGAACATGAGGGCGGAATATCTAGTTGGGTTGGTGCCTTCGATCGGTTTGAACCAGTTGCCTCCGACCAGATGAAAAAGCCGGTCGTAATCTTTAACTTCAGAGGATCAGGTTAGAAATTAATGCCGAATTCTTTTTAGAATCGCGTAGTTAATAGTTGGAACGCATTTCCTACTGCTTTGCACGTAAGCACCACAGCATAAACCTTCAAAGTGGCTCGGATAAGTGTTAGTTAGTTCTTTTCCCGGAAGTTTCTTGACAGTTGGTAGAACTTGTAGTCCAGAAGCCAAGCAAACCCCATGGGTACTGGTTTTGCTTATTTCTTTTGCGAAAGCAAGGAAAGCAACCAAAACGTCGAAGTATTGGAGGCTCTGGCTTGCTTGCCGGTACAAGAAACAAAACGCTTATTAAGGCAGGGGTCTGCTTTCTCTTTTGGACTTGATCTGGCATGGCTTAACTCATAATGTTCCAAGTCTCCGCAGTCTACCATTGAAGATGCACAAACTGCTTTGATTGGATCAAGGCAAAAACCTGTTCGTCGCACCAAGGTATAAAGGGCTTTAACTCGCACCCAGATCACGTGGTTAGCGAATCAGCGCTTAAGGGTGTTGCGTATAAACGCCATGCTCTTAAGGGGCAATACCAACCATTTGCTTTCCACAACCTGACTCATCCTTGGCTTTCACCTTCCTTATTAAGTCCCCGCATGTTGTAGTACTGAAGTTACTTAGCTATGGTCCGCTCCCCATTCCGCTTTTACCGTTTCTTCTTTCACCTAAAGTAACCGGCTCATCAAGCACTGTTAGTGTAGAATAAGTGGGCAGTAATTTGTTGAATAATGCTTGGTTCGTGCATTTTCTTGCAGATCCTTGAAGAACTCTGTGCACCTTAGCGATTACAGCCTCAACGAACTGGCTAGCCTAGCAACCGCCTCATGGTGTCAGCTGGGTTGTTCGGATCCACCCCGTTCCGTCAAATAGCTTGGCGGCATTGTTCCAGAACGTCGTGGTTCGTTGCCTGGCAAGCGTTCTCCCAATAAAAAGTCACCAACATATGTTTAACACAAAGGTGACGTGGCGGTTGTGACACGCCAACAACTAAAAGCACCCATTGCTTACCCAGAAAACTGCTTCAAGTCCGCATATATGACGCAATCATGTAGTAATCTCACCACGTTCAAACACAATCGAACTTGCAGGAAAACAGCAACAAATACCACAAAATGCTACACACGCCTACATGCACATATATCTATGTGTATATGTGAAAACACTCGTGTTCCATTTACCTTTGCTGACCACAGTTTTTACTCCTAACATGTTCATGCCTGTGCAGGCGTGCCTCGCCCATTCGAGAGTAAATGTTTTATTCGTCGGTAGTTTATTTTATTCACTGTATCATCCTACCTTTACCGTCCATCTGAAGTTGAATCATAACTGGCATTATCGATATCCCCGTACGTTCCGCCAGCGGCCAGCAGCAGGCACGTATGGACTCTAAACAAACTAGCGGCTCCCGTAACCAGCCCCTTAGGTTGCGGCTAGATTTTTAGGCTTAGCTCTGCACTACTTTAATAAACGCTTGTTGTGCCTTCGCGTCGCGTTATTGTCTAGTCATGCTTGACTGTTCGTTAGTTCGATTATAGTTGGGACAGAAAATATCGGAGGATCCCGTGAATGTTCCTTATTCAACGCTTAATTAAAGCAGGAGTTAAATAAGAAGGTCAAAATACAAAAGGACCAAAAACCAGGACGGCATTGCACCAGGTTCAGTAAGCTACTGCCCACATATCCATTTCTGGTATTCCGTGCTTGGCTAGTCACGTGTATTTTAAACGCCGTGCAGTGTAAATTACAGAGGATCATGGACAAGGGGCGACAACAACGTGGCGAAAATCCAAGGGCAGCAAACGTAGAAAACGGCACTATATCAAGTGCTGTCAGAGGTGATAAGTACCCAACTTCGTAGTGAGCCACTTGCTACTGTCGACAAAAACAAAGTAAACGCAAGTTCAGCTGTCTGATCAGAAGCAGGTGGGGCCGCGCAAAAGGACGAACAATTGGTGTGCACCCCTTGGAGCTGGTATGATTAAGCAGTTGCTTCTGCCACATCAGCGACACGAGTGGCGTCTATTGCAGGGGCAGGCATCGAGGGAACGATTAGTGGCTTAGCTGCATGCGCCGTTGGATTCCTAAAATTGTCCACGGACGGTTTACGAGTGCGATTAAATGGTGGCATATTCCTATTCCACCTTGGAAATCGCCGGTTGCGTGAGCTATCGGAATTTCACAGATTTGTGCCAAGCGTCTCAATCATGGTACCCGGAACACATTTCTGATAGCCTGCCTCAGTCTGATTTTTAATGTTATCTGCGAGTTGGTTTCCAGGTTGATGTGTTTTTCCCAGCCGCTCACCATTCGCTCCAGAAAAACTGCAAATACGTGGCCGACGTCGTTATATGCCTCCATGTCCCGGCCCATCAATTTGTTGTACAAAACCGTACGTGGCCCGCGCGCTTTGTGCCCACTGTTGCCAAGGTCGGTTAAACCTGTGACGTTCTTAGGCCAAACTTAGGGCGGGATGCTCGTTATACCTTCATAAAGAGACTGTAGTCATGCTAGCAACCCGCCGTATAATTCTGCCGCAGCAGGTGATGATCTTCCAGGCCCAAATTTGCAGTGCCCAACTTCAATGAATGCAATAACGGATCACGGCATCGAGCCGTAAGCGGACTACGTTTCTGCGCAAATCGGTACCTTGAGAAATGTGAAGTCACTTCCCTCACCGGTTGTCGCGTAAAATATTCGCTTACAAGCTATAACGCATGAAACACTTGCAAATCAACAGTATGAGGTTTAGGTACCATGCTTCCTCACAAAACTTCTTTCCAAAATAGTTCGTTTCTTTTGCCTTTCAGGCACTGTTTGTGCGGTGTTTTCGATTTTCCTAGGAGGGTCAGCTAACAACTGCAATTTCAGAGTGATGGAAATTTAGTTATATAACACTTTAGCTTGCTAAACTTTTGTGTTCGCACCGCATTTATTTCACGCCGTTCAATTTTATTCTTCAAAGTGCGCAACACTAAGTATTTGACATTTATTCCATCGTTTTGTCATGCGGAGTTAGTTTATTAACACATTGGCATGGTGCATGAGAAGTGAAGTAATTTATTTGTTTATATCCTAACCACCATTTTAATCCTTTACCCAAAAATGCTTTGATAGTGTTTTTCCTTTTGTCACTTTGGGGACATTAATGAGTAGGTGTACCTACTGATTGCTCACCTAGTAACTTCCCGTCTCAGACAGGTTGTCACGTTCTCGGTGGGTTTCTGTTCTTCTTGATTTTCCTCGTTCCATATTTCTTGCCATGTTTAACGGTTTGCGTGTTCTGATAACTGAAGGGAAATTAAGAAAGTAGTAGTGCCGTTTTTAGCAAATTTCCAACCATTCATCCTAGTGCAATTCTCTTCACATGTTACGCGCGCTTCTATTGCCTCTCTCACCTGCACGTAGTTGTGGCGTTTCATCTTGTGGTTTCTCTCTTTGTTTTCAGTTATACGGCGATTCGAGACTTTCGCGATGGTCCGTTCCAGCAACAAGACACGACGAACGACTCGGAAAGGCGTTGCTACTCGGGAATACACTATCCATTTGCATAAGCGGATTCATGGCATTGGTTTTAAGCGACGCGCTCCGAGGGCCGTGAAAGAGATTAAAAAGTTTGCTAGAAAGATGATGGGAACCGAGGACGTGCGCATCGGCGTTCGTCTTAACGAGTGAGTTCTCCTTCTTGACGTAACTTTCACTAGGTTCATATGGTCTAAAGGCGTTCGTAATGTTCCTTACCGCGTACGGGTGAGGCTTGCTCGCAAGACTAACGACGATGAAGACAGTCCACACAAGTTTTACACCCTGGTCACTCATGTTCCCTGCACTAACTTCAAAGGCTTACAAATTTTTAACGTTGAGTCTGCTTAATAGTCAATAAACCATCTGCTTCGATTTATCTAATGATTCCTTCTACCGTTATCGATCAGCTTGCGGCTTCATGTTTTAACGCACTTAGTGGGGCAACTATTGCAAACTACATCCGATTATAA